ACTACTACAACATCCTATCAAATTCATATACTTACATAATCAAGATAGAATGACTACAGGAGAAAGTAAATATAGCCTAACACATACTCGCAATAATATTAAACTAAAAGGAAGTATACTAACTTTAAAATTTTATTTTCTTCCTACCCCCAAATTTGATTTTAGCATGTATAACATTCAATACAGAAAATATAAGCAGGAAGAAAAACATGTCAAAAATTCTATTTATCATAAATATCTACAAGTATTCATCAGGACAGAACAATATGCAATAGAAAGTAAATCTAAACTAAAACATGCTCGATAAAATGGAAAGAAAGGTCTAACAAGCAGAACAGACATCGACTTAGGAATATATATATTTATGTGTTCTCCAAATATTTATATTATTGTAACACAAACACAAACACACATGATAAATGAGCTCAATTCTTTCTTTAACTCATTACATCTCACTAACTTACTTCCAATTTATAACGAAATCACTACACATATTTATTGGGTACTTATAAATGATTTTATAGATTCTAATCCTAAAGATAAGATTATCTTTGATACGTTGGGTCGCGAACACCAACCTCAAGTGTCACAATATCTCAATAATTAAGCACCTTAAAGCACCTCTAACAGTTATAAGGATAGTGTAAAATCATCCACATGTTACTCATCAAATAGGTTAGATATTCCTATCAAATGAAAACAAAGTCAAAGAAAAGAAGTAATAAAATTGAGATGGAACTGTCACTATTAAAATTCATAACGTCTCTTGCAAAACTCCAGTTCGGGTGACACCCGAGTCCTAGCAGACTCGTCAATCTAACTACTACAAGAGAACATACAAGTCTAACCATAATAAGACGTTAAGGAATCACCTCCCTTATAATACAAAAAGATATATTCAAATCACTAAAAATCCAAACATCTACCAATCATCAATCAAACTAAACAATTCATACTAAAGCAAACACAATACAACACTAACAATCATAACTCTCATACACACTAAATCAAACCATACTGACAATTATGGGTTGCCTCCCATAAAGCGCTTTGTTTAACGTCATCAGCATGACAAATGATTCCACCTGGATCAAAATTACATTTAAGTAATCCTTGATCAATTACCCAATCTTTTCTAGATCCAGGGATTCCTTCAAAGTCCTCAAATTAAAATTTTTCTTTCAGCTCTTCCTTTTCATATTGATTCATATCCTTGTTCCTCATATTTCTTTCTAGATCCAATATTCTTCTAGTGATTTTCTCAATTTTCATATTAATATCATCCTTGAAATTTATAAGAAATGAATCTTTATAAGGTACTTCATGATCTCCCAAATTTTGGATCGGATTCTCTCTAGATAATTCAAATTCTGGATCAAATTCTTCTAGGGTACTCTTTTGTTCAGGGTTGTCTTTCAATTCTTCCCCTTGGTATTGTGTAAATGGTAAAGGTGGTCTTTCTATATTTATCTTAGTTAAGGAAATATGTTTTTTTAATTCTTTAGGAATTTTTTTCATTGATCTTTCAATCTCCTTATCCTCATTTCTAAACTTAAAGTTCTTTTGAAACATATCCTCGAATTCTCTTCTAAATATTAGTTTGATAATTTTAAATTGCTCATCATTCATCTCCTTAGAGTTTATCTCAGGGTCACTAGGTAAAATCTCTGGGAAGTAACTGTTAATTGCGTTAATAATCTACCCCAGTTGGTTTTCTATATTTCTTATTGCGACATCTTGATTTTTTAGCTCACTTTTCATTTGAATAACAACCTCTTCTAATAAATCATTCTCATCATTCTTGGGGTTGAAGTCAAAATTATGAGGAAAAGAAAGTTCATCATTGTAATAGCCATGATTATTCCAACTACATGTCCAATTAAATTGATTATCTTTCCAAAATTGGCATTCTTCTCCAAAATTATTATTCCTGTTAAGCCTCAAATGATTTTCCCAACCTGAACTGTAATAATCAGAATAAGGATTGTATATCTTATGACTAGTTTCAAAATAGTTAGGCTCAATCAACTGTCCAAATAAATTTTCCTTAATAACTAGGGTTCGTTGAGCATATCATTCTATGTATTGATCTAACTTCTCCTCAATATCTACAACTTGATAAATTAAAATTGTAAGCATATCTTCTTAAAAATTTGTCACTCTCCTATGATTTACTCTTTTAAAGCTACTAGCATTATAATCCAAATCTGAATATTCATTATCTCGTTGATTCGTCATTTCTACATTAAATTCTTGGAGTCTTCCCAAATCTCTACCAAAAGTTCTCTCCAAATCCGACTTACAAAATTCAAGGTCTGCAGCTCCTAAATTACACATACAAATCTAAAAACTTAACTAATAGGACAAATATCAAAAATATTTTTGGTATTTTGGTTTTTCTTTAAAATAAATACACAATAACTAAACACAAAATATAATAATATTATAAATTCTAAATCTAAGTCTTACAGGTTTAACTAAAATTCTCCTAAAGTTCTTATCGATACTTCCCCGGCAACGGCGCCAAAAACTTCACACGCCCCCTAGTGTGTGCTGGTTTTCTGCGTGTTTTATGTCAATTTAAATCCCCAGTACAGTGTCAAAAACTTGATCCGTCCCAAAATTACGTAGTAATTCAATTTTAAAAAATATGGCTAATAACTTAACCCAATTTATATTAAGTAGTTAATGTGCAAAATTGAAATGTTATATAAAATATATAAAATAGTTCACACACTAGTGGCTCTACGCACGCAAGTGCACAAAGTGCACATATCGCTTCAAGTAATATAGGGATTTTTTTAAAAACCCCGATATCGATCCCACAAGGAAGCGCAGTAAGAAATCCTTTATGCTAATTCTAGTCTACTACTATGAAATCTTAATTTGGAAGATATAAATTCTTATGATAATAACATAAAATCACAATATTCAAACTATAAAAATTAAAGCAAGAAAGACAAATTAAAATGGGTTTAATGAATGCTAATAGAAATATAACTAAAAGAACTAAATTTACTAAACTATTTACTAAACTTTAAAATTAAATTTACTATGAATAAACAAAGTTTTGTGATGAAGAATTCAAATTTAAGAAAACTTCCTTCCCCTTTACAATGAGTATATGAATTGTCAAGAAATTAAAATCATTTAAAAATATATAGAAATTTTTTTGTGTCAAATAGGAGCAATCAAACCCACACACATGCCTCGTAAGCCATCCAACCAAGCCCCACACAACACACACCCACAACCCCTCCCCAACCTTAACGAAGCAACCACAACACAAACAACCACATCACACACACACACACACACACACACACACACACACACACACACACACACAACACACACACACACACACCCCCCAACCTTATACATGGCCACAACCACCACACAACACCCAAGATCACACATAACATCTGACCACAACACACGCACCCATAGCCCTAAAGAGGAACTGACACTACACAAAACCACCACCCAACCAAGCCCTAATGAGATTGCATTTTAAATAAGATAAAAAATACAAAATGACATTTAAAGAAAAGATGTGTATGACTTTCAGTCCGTCCCTTAAAAGAAAATTTATGTAGAATGCAAATTAAAACCTCTACCAACAAGTTTATCCACAATAAGAAGCTTCAAAGCAAATGTTACATATTAAAGGCAGTAGCCCCAAAATCAAAGCATTTTACTCGAAGACATAAGAGGAAAATCATTGTAAGGATAATTATAAACATCCTTAAGGTCAAATGAATTTTTACTCTTCCAGTGACAAAGCACTCCTAGAATCAGAAATTGTAATATTGAGAATAGAATTAATGCAGTCTAAGGGTGCAGAGTGATTGGATGGAAATGCCCATTTGTAACTATAAATATAATTAACAATAAGGGTGTTTTAGGGTAGTTAAACCAACATTAGAATCAAATTTCTCATAGCAACAATTATAGTAACAATTATAACAACAATTACAGCCAACAACACCAAGAAGAAATATTTGTTCTTAGCCATTTAATGAAGGAGAATGCTAAAAAGAAAACGAGAAAAAAAGAGTGAAATTCCCCCCATTTTATCTGAAGAACAACTCCAAATCAAAGTAAAACCATCTAGAACGAATCCTCATCAAATCTCAAATAGATTTTCTTTGAAGAAACCACAACTGAGAAATCACATATCTCAAATCACGAATATGTAAAATCTCACAAAAAATTACAACACAGAGAGCAAAAATCGCAAATGGAAAGCCACCATTCCATCGACAACCGCATGAATTTATAGAGCCAAACATCACATGAACTTGCAGGGCAAAGTAACTAGAACACCAAGTGAGGAGGGAGAGGAGAAGGGCAGTGCTAAGTATGAGAGTCGCGGGTGAGGGAGATCGATTGCAGCTAGGGCGAGCGAGATAGACGCGGGTGCATGTGGGGGCATAGGGGTAGTATTTCATTAAAGGAACGCAAGCCCTGCGGTCTATTCCGCAGCCGCATTTCATAAAAAATGGTTTTGCTTTTTACAGTAATCCCACATGGCTTGATCTCCAAAGGCTCTTACAACGTTTTCAAAATACCGCCCGCATCAATAAGCTGCCCGAAATACATAAAATTATCATTAATATAAAATAAATATAACCACATACTTTTTTTTTGGTGCTAAAATAATATGTAATTTATAATAAAAGCATAAAATTAAAAAATAACTTTCCAAAAATAAAAAAACTTAAAATAAGTAAATTAACAAATCCCCACCATCGCTGAAGTCGTAGGACAACAGCCGTTTTGGTTGATCGTCTTGATTCACCTCTCCGAAAGTCCTTTTATCAGCCGTTCGCCGGCGCCGATATCTCAGGCCTCTAGGATAGCTCGGAGTCGGAGAAAAACAGAGCCCTGAAAATCTTGTTAACTGATTCTAGGGTTTTTCTGACCTTTCTCTTCCTCCCAATCCATGGCTTCCAGGCTGCTTAGATCCCGTCTCTCTCCCTTCTTACGCGCCGCAGTTCTCAACTCCCACACGCTCATCAATCCTCTGACCTCCTCGCCGCCATCTTCTTCATCCCCTTTCCTCCGTTCCCTTCCCCCCGTTACATCTCGTCTGCCGCTCGCCGCCGTCCTGTCGACATAGGCGCTCGCGCCCGCCAATTGCAGAATCGCCGCCTCTGGACTTACGGTCTCACCGTCAGCTGTGTCGCTGGGTTCATCGTAATCGTGCTCGCCAACTTCCAGGATCAGCTTCTTTTCTACATCACTCCCTCTGATGCCATGGCGAAGTTCACGGCAAATCCCTCGAAGACTCGCTTCCGCCTCGGTGGCCTCGTCATGGAGGGAAGTGTTCTCTACCCCTCATCATCCTCCCCGGAGATGGAGTTTGTCGTCACAGACCTTCTTACCGATATCCTTGTCCGCTACGAGGGTTCCCTTCCCGACCTCTTCCGCGAGGGCCACTCCGTCGTGGTTGAGGGATTCCTTCGCCCGTTTTCGTCCGATTCTGGCATCCATGCCGCGACCACTGGCCCGCCGGTGACGGCCAAGGCCAGGAGCCTTGATTGTTACTTCAAGGCCACGGAGGTGTTGGCTAAGCACGACGAGAAGTATATGCCTAAGGAGGTTGCAGTAGCTCTTGAGAAGAATAAGAAGAAGTTAGAAGAGGCAGGGGAAGCTAAGGCCTTGGCATTGGAGAAGAGGAGTTGAGGAAAATCAATGATTCAGGTTTTTAATTAATTAATTCTTCTTTAAAATTTGAGTTTTTATTGGATCCTGTCACAGGTTGCGATTATTTATTAGCAGCGGAATATTAGACTAATTTGTGATGCAGCACATTGCTGCGAGTTGAAACTAGTTAAATTCTGCCGTTGAGAACGGATATATGATAAGAATAACAGCGAGTGACAAATTAATTTTTTGAGATGTAGACATGATATAAAACTATGTATTCTGATGTAAAATCTGTAGACTAAATACATACTTTTTTTTGTGTTCTTATAATGAGGATTTCAGTTACTTTGAAGTGGAGAGTTTTTCATATGGTGATATATACCATTAACACAGGAATTATGAATTCAGGATATTTATTGAGTTATTTAGATCATATATTTTCTTAATATGGTAATATTACATGATATAAGCTCGTAATTTTGTTGAATTTTAGCATCTTAATGACCAATGAGTTTTAAGCATGTTTTATAACAGATATTCGTTTAGAGAAGTATCTACTGGATATTTTCTGTTGGAACTTGTTGAGGTTTATTTTCATAGACTGGGTGAAGCCCATTCTTTGAATTTGCTCAAGTTCTTCCAACTTATAGCATGTTTAGGAAAATATGTAGAGTTGGGAGAGCTTTAAATTTTTGTGTAATTTGGGTAGCAAACTAAAATTGAGGTGTGGCACTACTTTCAAGCAAAATTTTGTCTCTTGTGGGTTCTTTTGATTTTTAAGCATACTTATGTCAATGGAGCATCATTGGCTCTTGGGAAATATTAAACCAGGTATAAATTTGTCATTTTTATTGCCTTAACATATTTCCCAACTCATAAGTTGTGTGGATACTTGTTATTTTGTTCCTTATATCATAAAGTGTGTCTATGAGAGTTGTCGTTCTTAATTTTCAAGTTATTTTAAAGTTAACTTAATTAGTCATGTCTAGCGACTGTTTAAATTCTTCACTACTGTAGTCCTGTTTCATGACCTGGTGGGAAAAAAATGATGTTTGTTGGGGTACTGGCATGTAAGTTCAACGCCTAGCCAAAATGCTTTCTTTATATCTATATCTATATATATATATAATATATATATATATATATTCTCTATCTGTATGTGTGTGTGTATAGTGTGTATGGTATTTAATTCACTTTTGATATACATATGCTCTTACTTCTCGTACTTTTGATGATACCACATAAATGTTGTTCTCTAAGTTACCCTTTAGGGAGGAATGGAATGGCGAACCAAGATAGAGCCTCTTCTTTTTTCATGTGGAGTTGATTCAAACGTTTTGCACCTATCTCTAAATCTTGCATGGGGGTTAGCTTCAAGAGAAAGCATAAGAAATTTGGTTGCTACTTTTTGAGAATAGAACATAGACTTAGCACCATTTTATTTTAGATGGGAATTGTCTTTTTGATGTTTCAGACTCGGGTGTGCAAACTTGTAGGAAAATTTATGGACCAAAGAATTAGACTTTTTTATATTTTAAGGGAATTATCTTTTACACTGTTGATCATACTTAAAACGAATAACAAGAATTTTGTGGTCTCTATCTTATAGATGCTGAAGACATTAAAAATTAGTTAGTGTATTCCGCGGTCGAATTTGTCACAGCAAATAAAACGGAAGCTGCTTGCAATCCTGTTCCCAGTATTGATGAAGAAAGCAAATCTGAACTTCACTGTTGTGGGGTTTTTCTCGATGCCTTAAGGTTATGGATGGAAAAGGCATTATCTAGTGCTGGATAGGAAGTAGTGGTCTTTTGTATTTTGTATATATGGTTGATGACTTAGAAGGAAGAGGCAGAGAAGGATTGGGAGAATTTTGGATGCTTTTCATTGTTTGAATTATGCCTATTAGTAGACAATATGGCAGGCAGCGACAAAACCAACTTAAAATACTGGTTATTCAACAATTTTAATATCAAGCAAAGTTTTATTATTTATCCGTAAATAATATTCAATTCACAATGCAAATATGCATCTCATTGACAACTCATAGAACCTGAAATTATAATCATAAAAAAATTTAAAAATCATTGAAGAAATTTAAAATTAAATTATTAGGCCCGATAACTCATAAACCACCTACAGAAAAATGAAACTACAAGTGCCTCACAGTAAAGCTAGCTGGGGGGAGCAATGGTGGACTCTCAGCATAGAAAAACCATTGAAGCTCGCATCTTGCTCCTCCTTTTGCTCCGATCTAACCCGAAAACCATTGAGGAAGGTAACCCTTTTCTTTCTTCACCATCCAACCACCTGCTTTCCCATTCTTTAACTTCTCCAAATCCCGGAAATCCAACTTCCAACTGGATTCACTTAATCCGGAATCCAAGCAAAACAGAGAAAATACAAGAGGCTGTGAAGTGCAATTCCATTGCAGATGGCACTCATACCATTCTCTTTAACACTTAAATGGAGATTTCTCTCCTTAGGAGTGGCCTTTTGGAAATCTCCCTAACTTTTCAACAATGTCATGTTGGACGAAGCAAGATCAACACTACCTCCAATAAAGCCGGGGAGGACAATCACTAGTGCATTAAGGCATTGCTGAGAGAGTTTTTTTTAGCATCAACTTTGCTCCAATGGTTGTAAGTTTGAAAAAAAATTGAATAAGTTATATAACTATTTTGTGAAAACAATGACAAGCTTAATTAAATGAAAGATTAAGAAAAATTATACCGGTAGAGCTTTTTCCCATCCTGTAAGAATATCTCTAGATATAATGGCCTTCGGCTCTACCACTTCCTCGTACTACTCATATTGAACAAATTTTGCATTCCATTATGCTTCGAGAGATGCACCCTCAGGGACATGGCAGCTACAATGGCTAATAAGTGATTATGTATGAAATATTGAACGTGAGGAAAAAAATTAAAGAAAAAAGGAGCATATTTTAGCCAGTAATTTAATTTGAAAACCTCTTCACATTCTCAGGCACGTGGAAAGACTCATAGGGTTATCCAAGGTTTTGATTTGTTACATCATCTTCCTTCGCTCGTAAAGCCCTGCCATGTATGATGTATGAGTTTGCCTTGTTGGGTGAGCCATGCCCAATGATGGTTGTGACCTACAAATGGTACAAAAATTTCATAAAGACTTCAAGTATTTGAAAGGAAAAATAAGTAAAAATAGAAATGTGTTTATCATCATAGAAAAGAATAAATTTGCTGAGACCAAAGTGGCTAGCAAGAGATCAAGCTTCATTTGAAATGCCCTTCTATTTGAGAACCATCTCCAACAATAACATACAACAACAACAACATAGCCTTAATCCGACTACGTGGGGTTGGCTACATAAATCCTTTTTCTCCATTGCGTCCTATTTAGTGCATATTTTCATTTAATTCTAATAAATTAAGATCATTTTTTATACAATAAGCCCAAGTCTTCCTTGGTCTACCTCTGCCTTTTTTAACACAAGTCAAATTTAAAACATCTACTCTCTTAATCGGATCATCAGATGGTCGATGCTTAATGTGACCAAACCATCTAAGACGACTTTATCTAAATTTGTCTGTCACGGGAGCTACACCAACACTATCACAGATATCAGCAAGAATAACATACCTAATAAAAAAACATATTCATATCAGCAAGCTATTAATCGATTCCTCAGAGAAGAATACAAGATGAAACCAAGAATAGAGACGGATGATGATTAACGTGTAGCGGTCAGGTTTATTGAAACAAGCTACTAGATATCTCTCAGCAAGTGCCAATCCAACATCATTGGCAATTCAAGAATTCAAGGCAATTATTAGAAAAACATAAAATAATGAATAAATTTTGATAAAGAAATGGTTGATGTTGGACTATCATCAACCAGGAAATACAAAATATCATGTAAAATGCCCGACTTTGTAATCAAGCACATCTATTTGAGCCAATGAAGTTCTATGAAATGCACTATATGGATTTACATTTATTTTACATTGCGTGAAGATTCATGATTTCTGGCAAGCTTCTATAAAAATTAGAAAGGAAGATTTACATGCATATTACTCTATGCTTAAGTATTTATGTGTCTAACACCTAAATTTTGATTCTGACATACATAACATCATATTTATGCATGAAAAGCTGTATGTGCGTTTTAGAAGTTAAAATGGTGGTATTTTTGGCGTGGTATGAAAGATTTTGGTGTATGAATATAAAAATTCAAGGTTTGAACATCCAATAAGGCAAAATAAATTAATCTTTATTTCTCACAGGTCCACTTTATCAACTACCTTAAGCTTGTTCCCTTCTCACGAAATTCCACTCAAACAGACCTCATTATCACATTTTCTTATCGGCAGCATGTGTTCCACCAATCAGCTATAATCATGTTAGAGTAATTTTAAAACAAAGCAGAAATTACATACATACCACCTAATTTCTATGTATTTACAAATCTAACACCTAAACTTTACCTTTTACATTTATACCACCCAAATCTTTCCTATCATATCAAAATACCACTATTTTAACTCTTAAACAGTGAAATACGCCTTTTCATCCACAGGTAAGATGGCATACATGTAAAAATGAAAGTTTTGGTGTTAGATATGTAAACACAAAAGAATTGAGTGGTATATGCAAACCTTCCTTTACCGTAAGAACCTGCCCTGACTTCCTATCGCCTTCATTTCATAAACTAACCTGAAAGTGATTTTCAAACCTGCATAAATTTGAATGTTCTGATCTGCCAAATCTTTACATTCTATAAACATAAATTTTAGTTTATTCATTCCATACACAAGTAATGAAGAGAAATGGAGCCATATTCGGGTGTGGTGGACAGGTCTTGTATAGTTACATGCCATCCTCTTAGAAACATGTTATAATCATTTCTGGTCTTGATACTACAGTTTATTTTCCTCACTGATTCAGTTTTACAAATTATTTATTTGCCTGTGCTAGCAATCTCATTGAGATTTATTTCTAAGAAGTATTAAAGAGCCGTCTCAAACCATTCAACCATGAAAGGCAATGAAAAAAGGGAAAATGTTGGGTTTAAATAACAAGACTTGTTCGTGGACAGGTCTTGTATAGTTACATGCCATCCTCTTAGAAACATGTTATAATCATTTCTAGTCTTGATACTACAGTTTATTTTCCTCACTGATTCAGTTTTACAAATTATTTATTTGCCTGTGCTAGCAATCTCATTGAGATTGATTTCTAAGAAGTATTAAAGAGCCGTTTCAAACCATTCAACCATGAAAGACAATGAAAAAGGGGAAAATGTTGGGTTTAAATAACAAGACTTGTTCTGTAGCAGAATAGCGATATTTTCTCTCCCATTAGAGATATA